TATAATTTTGATATTGATTTGTTCTAAGATACTTTGGAAAGCCTGAACGTAATAGAATATATTGATATAGTATTAAAAGTGTTTTTGTGTTTGAATTTTAGTCTCAGAGTCAAATTCTTTATTCTAACCATAAACTTCATCGAGTTATTGACTTGTGTGCTCCACTCGCCACTGCATTCTTCAACTAAATATCAATTAAGTGTGACTGGCAGTAAAGTCGAAGCTACAATGACTAGCCTACATGGCCCGCCTATTACAGCTGGTGCAGTCTTTGAGGATTTTGAGTTCTTGACAAAATATTTCATTTTATACATGTTACTTTATGCTTTTCACTTACATATGTGTTACAAAGACTGATGGTGCTGCTAAGGGCATATGGTGTTATTATTATAATATCTTACTAAGGATAGTGTTACTTTAGGACGACAGTGTTTCTATAGTTCTGGAGTATTTTAACACACCTGGTGTTTCGATTATAACGCTGTTACACATGTCAGTTTTTATAGCACAAAGTATCCATTATTTCAGCGAGGTAAGTATTATAGCCAGTAATTTACCTCACATACTTTTACCATTATCATTCTGAAAAGGATGCTTATTTAAATCTCATTCTGTTTCTAATCAATTGATGCTTATTATTTCTTACTGCATTTGAATCGTACAATCAAATTTTGAAACATATCTTTCATGACAACGTCAATGACTTGCTGTATTTTTAATTCATTTTTATTAGAATATTTATAATTTAGTGAAGCACATCATAAATACTAGTCATTGTATGGTAGTAAATAACAAATTCTAGTTATTATAATTGGTGTTTTGTCATTTTAAATTGTGTCTCGTGTCTTATATAATTACAGCAATTCCTGGTTATAAAATGCATTACGATGAAACATGACTGTGTCAATCGTTTTTTATTTTATTATATTCATTTATATATGCTAGTAGTAGACTTGACCTTCATAAATATGTAGGACCAAATATCATTACCATGACCAAGTTTCACAACAAATAGAAGCAAAAAGTTTTATCTGTTTTTACCCTAAATTTTTGAATTTATTTGAGTTAGCCCCTCAGTGGCTCAGGGTGAAGCCTGAAGGCTTATAACACTAAAATTATGGTTTAGATACTCATGGTAGGCAGAGCACAGATATCCCATTCTGTATCTTTGTGTTTAGCAACAGACAAATATAAAAAAATAATTCGAGTTTGTCCGAAATTCTCGTAATTGGCCATCATAACCTTCCGCCTAATATAAAAAGCATATGTGAATGTTTTATGATATTGAAAGATCGTTATTATCAGATATTCGCAAAAGTTACGTAAGGGGTATCTGCGTTAGCCATCCTTATTTTGAAATGATAGATTATAAAGAAGGTAGCTAATGAACAATGTCCATTGCCAACTGTTGGGCTTCTCTAATCGAATAGTGTGATTTGTCCATCACCCTAATAATATATTCACGGCCCCACAGTGTGGAGGGCGAATTTATGCGAAAAAGGTACACAAATCTTAGACCCTAAGATCCACAGTCTGGCATGCTAACCATTACAATAAGCTCGGCCTGAAACTCAAAAAGAAAGAAACGTAGCTATCAACACACCTAGTGAAAAAACGTCTAAATTCAGATGTAATTACTCAGTAAACATAAACGATACTGAACTTCCAACTGACATGTCACTGACTATTAATAACTTTTGAGATGACATGCTGTAAAAACTATACCACGGGATGATTATATAAATACCACATATCAATATAAAAGTTAGAAGGAATCCGATCCATTCAAAAACAATATGTTCGTTTGACTTTGATGAATGCTCTTATAAACCTTCCTCAAATTTCAAGAAACTAATACTGCAAAAATATTATACAAAATTACTGCATGCCAATTCTTATTGTTAAGTTAAAGGGAAGGAGATCCGCTCGAAAACAATGTGATAATTTAAATCCATGGATTATTATTGCAAAGTTTACTTAAATAACGTTGAAATAGTGTTAGAAATTAATTTACATAATATATCCACATCTCTATAGAATGCGACATTTGTGTTAAAAATCAAAAGCTTTACATCACATGTAAATGTTTTGTGGGTATGAAGAATTTCAAGTATAAGATATGAAAAGGAGATATTTTCAGATTTACAAAATAGACGTTTCTAGCTTAAAAATATACATTTCAAATTCGCACATACAAACAGTGCTCTACAGCCTCTGTTAGCACTAGCTACTAAACATCCTTCCGTCGTTGCCATAGGAACTTGGTAGTGTTTTCCATCCAGTACTAGAGGACCAGCAACTCCAACTGGAATAGGTACATACCCAACTACATTTTCGCAACATGCTCCCATGACCTGAAAGAACATAAAAGAGGTTAATTTTAAGATTAAAATGTGTATGTTGTTACTTATAGAACATATCGATGAAAACAAATTTAAACGAGAAGACTCTATTTTTGATATTATGAAAAAAACAACAAAAAACAAGCCTACTGTAAAATTTAATGGTAGCAACGATTAAATATACTGATAAAAAGTGTTTTGTAACACAGGTGTAAGTATCTTGTAGTAACAATAAAAAAGAGGCGAAAACAAAACTGATTGAAACAGATCTGAAAAATCTCGTTGAAGAAATATTTTTGTAATCATAAATTTAAGATGAAACAATTCCAGCTTATTAAACAATAATGTTATAGCAAGGGTAAAAACAATAAGAACTGAGTAAAATTTCAGTAATGTAACTTTAACACAATTAGATTAGTTAATTAAATGAAATTAAAATTACTCTTAATTTGGGTGTTTATTTTCTATATCAATAAAGTTTCATTACTACAGTATAATCTAACACACTGTATTGTAACGAAATACAGATCTCTGGATTACATTATTGTTAGGTGTTTTTTGGCTTCCTTAACCCTTTCTAACTTAGTAATGTTACATATATATACGATTTACTTCCTTACTCCCATTACAACTTAGTGATGCGTATTTGTTTGTTTGTTTTTTACTGTGATTGGCCAATCATCAATTAGCAAAAACTAAGTGAAGCGTATACTGCGCCTATACATATATGTGGGTTACAAATTTTGAAATGTGTTGGTTGTGGTAAAAATATTGTGTAAGATGTTGTTTTGGCGTTTGTTTTATGTGTAAATTTTGACTATTAAATTTTAATCAAACGTCGCCTGTGTTATTAATACGTGAGTGTCATTAGGAACGTCGGCGAATTCCATATGTAATAAATTGGGGGCTCGTCCTGGCTCTGTTCTAAAAAGAAAAGTGTTTAAATTGAGCGGCATTATTTACAGGCCACAAATAGGGGAGGGTGACTGAATAGTTGAAATTAGAAAAACCTCCAGGAGAAGTTCTCGACTCTATGAAAAAGACCGAGTTATTGGAGGCGTGTGAACAATTAGAAATAGATTTCAAACAGTCGATGAAAAAAGAGAAGCTTAGATTCTTGATTGTGGATAGACTCGTAGATGATGACATAATGGAGGAGAATGTGTTGGGAAAAATATCTTGAAAAAGAGGATCCTGCATCCAAACGTTTCAAATATAATTTGAAGTTAAATGAACTGGAATGAGAAAGAGAGGAAGGGCAAAGAGAATTAGAATCATCGAGGTTAGAAAGAGAAATGGAAGTAAGAAAGTTAGAATTTTAAAAGGAAGAAAGGATTGAACTATAAAAGAGCTTGAAATTATAAACTAAGAGTTCTAGAATAAAATCATCACTAAAATTTGACCATAGTCATCATGTTAAAATGAACCACCATTCAATGAACACCAGGTAGACAAATATCTTCAACATTTCGAGAAAGTAACCCCAATTTAAAATGGCCCGACAGTTTCTGGCCAATTTTATTGCAAAGTGTCATTAGAGGCAAAGCTAAAAAAGCTTATAGTGCACTCTCGATTGACGATTGTACGAAATATGATCAGAAATCAGTCATTTTCAAAGCCTATGAACTTGTTCTTGAAGCATACAGGTAAGAATTTCGTGATTATCAACAACACATCAACCAAACCCATGTGGAATTCACCAATAAGAAGTTTATTTGGGAAGGCGGAGCACATGTAAAAAGGTGAATGACAATTTTGAAAGTCTGAAACAATTGATTTTGGTGGAAAAATGTAAAACGTGTGTTAAAGATAACGTCAAGACTTATCTTGATGAGAGGAAAGTAGTAACTTTGCAACAGGCTGTCACATTGGCTGATGATTTTGCCTTAACTCTCATTGTTAGATTCAATAAGACCAAACACTTTGATTCTCCCCTCATAGAAATGGAGGTAGTAGTAATTCCAATGGTCATTCAGGTAGTGATCCCAAGTTCCCCTTTGTTCCTAAATCTGGTCGAAGTCTCCAATCAAGAACAGGTATGAAGTCCAGTCAGTTAGGTTATAGTTCTCTTATTTGTCATTGTAAGAGTAAGGGTCACGTAATTTCTGAATGTTGGACTCTGAAAGCAAAGACTAAAAAGGTCACCTTAATGCTCTTATTTCATCGCATACGTGACTGTGAGCCTGAACCAGTGAGAAAAGAACTTCTACCATTTGTGTCAGAGGGTTTTGTGTACGTTAGTAAGGATAAGTCTAATCCCATGTCTATTAAAATTATTCGGGATACTGGGGCTACTCAGTCTTTCTTATTGCAGGAGATACTGTCTATTTCTAGTAAGTCAGCCACTGGTGAATATATTTATCCCAGGGTACTTTGTGAATGTACTTCTGATAACGTTTATTTAAGTCTGACTCAGTCTCAGGATTTGTTTCCGTAGATGTTAGGCCTAATTTGACACATAAGGATGTATCTTTGCTATGATACGACAGCGGAAGTCACGTGACGCTGGTAACACGTGATGAGATTCTAGAATCTAGATGGATCATGAATTGTCCTGGCAATTCTAGTCGGTACCAGGCAAATAAAGCAGAAATGTACAGATATAGAGATAGATAATTGAGTCAAGCGAGCAGTAGGAACCATAAGTAAAGTGCGTGAATCGTTGTGAATTATAGCGTGTGTTTATAAAAGTAGTTCACTTTAAAGTGACTGTGAAAAATCTTTGTATTGCAAAGTTGTATCGAGAAAGAATAAACTAGTTTTATTTAATAAAGGACTTGTATCGCTGAAGTTTCTCGGAAAGAATTTCTACGGGAAATTAACAAACAAGCAGAGACTTAATAGTTACATGGTAATGACTTGACAGGTAGTCGAGTGACCATATAAATAATTATGGTAAAGAAACTTCTAAATTAAATATGTATTTTAATTATGGTAAACACCATAACAGTTAAAGAAATAGAACACTAAAACGGGAAGAAAACAAAGAACAACAACAAATGATAATTTAGTAGGAGTGATAATTTAGTGATGAAAAAGAGCATCTGAGCAGTTCACTCTGTAAAGAACGAAAGAAACTACTTGAAGTAGTGTATTACTAAAGTCATAAACCTAGAGTTGTGAAAATGAGATTTTAAAGCTACAACTACATTGAATATCGTGTCTCTGCTTGGTGAAAATAAAAGACCAATAAACCATATCATATTTTGACAGTTGTTGATTTGTTGGTGTATGACAACTAAGTCACTTAAAGCTCGAAATAATTAAATAAAAACTTTATGTATGTCATGTTCGTCTACTGTTCTGTACATTATCTATAATGTACAAAATAAATTGTGAATCAACAAGCTTTACATCGTTGTAACCACCTGTGCGTGTTTGTTATTATCTTGACTTAATGGAGATCACTACATATTAGCTGCTTGGGACAAGTTAAGGATGGCTCATTATGAGTATTGGAGACATGTGCTCTGATAAACACTATTTTACATATCATTAGTTATAGTGCTTTGAATGCTGTGTTTTATAGAAAAGTCTTCCATAGGTGTTTGCACCTAAATGTTATGGACAATAACATTTGTCCCAATTGTGCATGCGTCGTCAGTACCTACTCCGAAACAGTTATTATAGTGAAGTTAAAATTGGAAACCCAATATGAGTAACAAAGACGACAAAATGTATTATTGCAATAAAAGAATTACACTATAAAAGCACATTGTTGTATTGACAAAACTTAGAGATGCAATGAAAACTACCCACCTGGACACATAAAGTGTAATGATAATAAACTGTATGATTGAGCTAAAAATAGTTCACTAAACAAAACCATTGGAAAAGGAAAGCCTATAAATGAACGTGACACAGCTTACCTAAAATACTGTTGCGTCATCGAGATCACGTGACTATTCTCACGCCCTCTACTTTCTAGAACTATCCCGTACTTTGTCGAAT